TAAAACGAGGGGGTAGCTGTAGAATTTTACTTTTTATATAGTGGAATCTTTTTTTTTTTTTTTTTTATTCAATCAAAAGAGCAATTGTGACTAAAAATCTTGAAAAAGAAACTCTGTTTCCTTTGGCTGCCATAATCATGACCAGACTCTAAGGGATGTATAGGAAAAGATGCTGCCACTCTGAACAGGAAACTACTCGCTCAGGGCTGCTTCAGAGCTTAGGTTGTAACAGGCTTTAAATATGTGAGATGACTTTTTAAAGGACACAAGTAACTGATCAGAAGAACACATAGATGGTACATAGCAAAAAACCCTTAGCATGGACTGATGCAAAGCAAATATCCTTTCTGGTAAGAATGTGAGCTACTGGAAACCTACTTAAAGAGAGTACTGCTTGGGAGAGTGGTGGCCACAGAGAAAACACTGATTGGATTGTTTTCAGAGGCTTAGAAATACATCAATGATCTCTTTTTTACACTGTCATTTGATCAGCAGTATGGCTCCTAGTAAAGCCAGGAGAGTAATGTGGAATTTCAGTAAATATAGCACCATTTCACATTTAGTATACCTCAAGCTACCAAAAGAATCCCACTGATGTAAAATCAGCTGGAACAGGCCCAAGTATTTTCAGCATTCCCAGAAGGAAATAAGGGGTTAGTCTGAAAAGCATGAAATCAGATATGCAGAAGGAGTGATCCAAAACACATCAAATACAATCTTCAGCTGCAAAATCATAAAACAGCTTGTCCTTGTTCACATTTGTAAGAATCTGATGGCTGACATGAAACCAATTACAATAAGAGATTGATGTTTTGAATTTCTGGCTTAACTGTGGCCTTAATTTTGACATCAGACATGACAGAAGGAAATTGGGAGAATTAAAATACAAGACACACTAAAGGGAATACAAGGCTGAGAGCAAGTAATAGCCTGAGACAGGTTTTAGAAGGTAACAGGCAGATCCAGTTTCTGCAAAAAATGAGAGCCACAGAATGTTTGAGACAAATTAGACCCAGTATTTTAACAGACATCACCTCTGTTTCAAAATAGTTCATTTTGACCCAAATTTCTTCGGTTGATAAAATCTTACAGAATGGCACTTATTTAAGTGACTTGATACTTTAGTAATCAAAAATGTCTCCCAACCAGCTGGAACTGTCAATGTGTGACAATACTTTTGCATCCAGGTGCTTTATTTGTTTCCGTCAGGAGCATCTTCTAAATTTATTGTGAGGCATAAACTCACATTTAGTTGGCATGAAATTAGAATCTAAAAATATTTAAAACTCTTGGAGAAAATTATTTGATTATCATTTGCATTTGGAAAATCAAATTAAAATGTCTAAAAGCAGAAAATGCACTGCAATATTGTGAAAACAGAATGTTGAGAAACTCAGAAGTCTCATAATGTTTGTTGTGAGACCATATATCTGGTTTGACAGAACAACAATTTTCATTTACAGGAATGATGTGAGAATTCAGGTTGCTAAAACCAGATAACTAGCCCTTTTTTTGTCCTCCCAAACTATCTGTGTGGTACTGTGGTTAGCACTACTCAGATGCTTAGAGGGAGGCCACAGTAAGGTTAGGTTTAATTGCCTTGGACAATGTCAAACACAGTCCTCAGGCATTCAGCAGGTCAGATAGTAATTGGTCACACAAAGCACCAGAATAGCACAAGATTGGAGAAGGATACACAGGTGGAAAAGAAGGAAGGAGAAGGAACTCTTTGCTTCAGAACATCTTAAACCATAAAATTACTTTAACTATGATTATTGCTTTTGTGAATGGAATAAATTGTATTCAGGTAGTCCATGGAAACACTTCATATAGGCAGAATACCCTTCATGCTCATGTTACTACTGCAGACAGACAAAGCAGCTCCTCAGGCTCCAGCGAGGCAGATCTTCCCTGTGACATTCGGCTCCCCAGGCCCTGCCCAGGCTGCCTTCTGTGCTTGTGAGACCCTCCTGTGTAAAAGAAATTCTGAAGCCCAAGGCTAGAAATGGGCATATGAGCATGTTAGGAGCATTTGCCTCTTTCAGCATATCAAAAGGAATGTGAACCTTCTCAGGTAAAAGGCTCAAGAACCACTGGAGAGAACTCCAAAGTGGTGCTATCCATAAGCTTTATAAAGGCAGTTGCAAAGGCTCATCTACAGACAGCAGAATTCCTCTGCAGTCTGCAATTATCAGAATTTTTATTTTTACTGTCAAAAATCAGATACAGGTAAAGAATTGCAGAATGGAAAGCAGATATAGAATATGTGGATATCAATCTAGCACAAGGATCACCATGCATTAGTTTATACACTCCTGACATTTAAGAAACTATTTGCACTTAGTATTAGATGAAATTAACTAAAAATCTTTTCCAAAGAATGAAGCTTACAAGTTCTTTTTATTTATTTTTCTTACATTAGTTATGGCATGGGAAAAGCCCAAGAGGTTTTCTTTGTAGTATTTCTAATTCAATTAAGAGCAAGAACCAATTAAAAAGTCAAATGGTTTCCCATGAACTTTTAGACTGAAGTGTTGGATAAATTTAGATTCCCAATGAAAACTAATTTGATTTCAAAAATGTTCTGGCCAAGTATTTCAGAAATGAAAGCTTATAGGTAGGATGCTGTGTCTGTTTTAAGGTAATACAGAAGAAAGATGTAACTTTCAAAAGTTCTCGGCATCTAAGTACCCTCAATAAATCAACATGAAAAGGTGATGTTTGCTCCCTTCATATCGGACAATTCTTTTAAAGATAAATTGTAAACATGAACAACTTTTTTGTCTTTCTTATGAGCCTAGGCATGGGCTATGTATGGAATTGACAGAAATGTATGCAGAATGGATTTAAGTCTCTAAAACTCGATTTGATCTGTAAAAATCTGGCTTCAAAATTTAACACAGCTCCAAAATAACCACCCTGTGAGAGTGTGTGTGTGGGTGTGAGTATGGGTGGGTGTGCATACAGAAGGAGTGAAACAGAACACTTAATCAAGAAAGACCAGCCTGAGAAGTTTTTGTGAAAGGTTCAGTAAACAGAGGTGTTTGGCCTGATATGAGAAGGGAGATTGGGATTACATGTTTACTTGTTACGGAAGACCTGGAGATATTAGCCATGATGGAACTTTACACCTGCACATAACAGAAATATTTTTTGGTCTGCAATGGACTCCAAGAAAAAACCCACAACAAATGGAGGTGAAAAGTTTTCCAATTATACCTATTACCAAAAAAACTTTTAAAATCATGAGTTAAAGATAAAATATTACTAAAGGAACAGATTTATTTTTTTTAATGTATCATAAGACTGAACACTGTCTATGGTTTTGGCAACATATTTCAAGTACCACAAACAAACATACAGGGATAAAATTATGTATAAAATTATATAAAATTATAAATTTATAAAATTATAAAATTAAGCTGCCAAAGATACGTTAGGGATCACAGAATCACAGACTGGGTCAGGTTGGAAGGAATCACAGTGAGTCCTCTGTTCAGGCTGGTAAACAGCAGACTGAGGGGAGACCCCATTGCAGTCTATGACTTCCTCATGAGGGGAAGAGGAGGGGCACACCCTGATCTCTTTTCTGTGATCACCAGTGACAGGACCCAAGGGAATAACCTGAAGTTGTGTCACAGGAGGTTTAGGTTGGATATCAGGAAAAGTTTCTTCACCCAAAGGGTGTTTGGACACTGGAACAGGCTCCCCAGGGAAGTGTTCACAGAACCAAGCCTGACAGAGCTCAAGAAGTTTGAACAGAGTTTGAACAGTGCTCTTGGGCACTCTTGGGGATGGTGCTGTGCAGGGAAAGCAGTTGTACACAATGATCTTTGTGGGTCCCTTCCAGCTAAACTGATTCTGTGATCTGGCCCAAGTTCCCTACTCCAGCAGGGTCATCCTAGAGCATACTACACAGAATTCCACAGCCTCTCTGGGCAGTCTGATCCAGTGTGCAGTCACCCCTTTGTGTTGTCAGTGATTTTACTGAGGATGCATCTGCCCCTTCATCCAAGTCAGTAAAAATAAGTTTTGGTAAATAAAAAATTCTGAGCTCAGTATTGAAGCTTAGGGGACACCACTAGTGACAGGCCTCCAACTATACCCCATGCCACTCTTTACAACCCTTTGGGATCTGCTGTTTAGCCAGTTCTGAATAAACTGAAAAAGATTTTCAAAACAATTTTTTAAATTTCTGAAACCATAAATACTATTTTAGATAGTTAATTAAAGTGGATACATTCATTAAAATGGATGTGGAAGAAAGATCTTTTGACAATAGTCGCGTTGACAATAGTTCAGCACACAGTTCTTGTGCTGAACACAAAGCACATAGATCTATGACCCTTCAGGAATCACCTTGCTCAAAATAAAGCCCATAAGCACTGACAGGAGACTGAGCTGCCATATATAAATAAAATCACAAAACAAATATGGAAATACCTGTATTGTATGTATAGAAATTACTGTTGTCTGATTAACTGTTTCAACAATAAAAATAGTTGTTTTAAATCCTGAAGGTAACTGCTTATAAAACTATTTATTGAACCTGCTCCACACACAGCAGAAGTCCTTCCCCTGTAATCTCTACCTTTTACAAAGTATCCCCTTGAGGGAATCCCGTGGCTCCAAAACTCATTTTTTCTCTTCCAATACAGATTCCCACGGATTTGGTGCTGCAGACATCTCTCTTCCCAACCCCACTAACAGCTGGATACCAGGCACCTCATAAATCATTAAATACATTGTGCCAGAGGCATCATCTTCTTAATTGTCTTTCTTCTGGATCTGGTCAGGCATCTTGTAGCAAAGGAACAGACATGGATTTTTATTGTTGGAAAACCCCTCTTACTAGAGCATGTGTCTCCTGGGTGACTGTGTATCTCTAGGTTTTTGTTCCCAGACCTACTGCAGAGAGCCTGAGACACAACCACTGTGCCTTTCAGAGCTCAGTTTGCAGAAATGTGCAGACTACCTTTTACTGTAGAGTGTTCTTTTTTCAGCATATCTAATTTTAAACTGTTTCCAATATTTCCCTCATGTAAAAAATTAATCCATATAGCAAGACATAATTGAAATTATACACAAATTGGATTACTTTTTGGGGCAACTTGCTTAAACATAAAACTCTCATAAACTGACTATCACCTACTGTTTACTTAAAAAATAAATGTAGGGGAAAGTTATGGTCATACAAAGCATTTAATCTTTTTTTGTTAGAATAGTATTGATCTAAAATCTCATTTTAATAAAATCTGAAAAGTTAAAATATATTTTTCAGTGTAAATATATTACTTCCTCAACATTTTATTCTGTACAAATTCAGTTGTTACTTATGGCAACATAATTGGCTGGAAAGATGCCAGTTTTTCCTCCTATTCTTCCTTCCCACCAATCAAACTGGGAATTTGTTTTAGTTGTCACTGTGATTCTGTCTCCAGCTTTGAAAGTCAAGTCACCTGGCTGTTGTCCTTCAAATGAATAAAGTGCTGTCACTTCAACTGGATCACTCTGAGAGTTATCTGAAATTAAAGAAATTAAATAAAAAGGAAATTACTAAAAGGAAATTACTACTGTCAGCACACACACTAAGTTCTTAAATAGAATATTCTTAAAGGACAGTAGAAAAAGGTGACAAAAAAACTAAAATAATCTATATGGGCATATAAACCACTGATGAAAAATCCCCTCCGATTCCACTATAATCTTAGGTAAGTGAAATTTGAATTCCAGCCCATCAGCGCAGTCTATTTAATAAAATAATACTCTATACAAAGTAAAGATCAGCCATTTTTCTGTATGCCTCATATGGTCAGAGACAGTGGGAACAAAGGTGGTGTGCTGAGGAAAGCACAAATGTTTCCTGAATGACTGCTATCAGAGCCACTGCTCAGATTTGAGATTTGGTTTGTGTTCTCTGTGAAAGCTTCTTCATAGAAACTGCAAAACTCAAAGGAGAGAATTTGACTTTTTAATCAACACTCAGGATATAGGATGGCAAAATACAAAATATCCATAGCACTTCCCTTCTCGCTCCATAGGTTTTGCAGTGCCTGGGATTTTGGTGGATTTCTAACGTTAAACAGAACACACAAAATGTGCCAGTGGAAAGAACTGATTATAGTGTGATGTAGTGGATGTGACTTGGTTTGTATAGGGGTATTTGCGACCACCTATACAAATGGCTTTTATTCTCTTTGCACCAGTCTCTTACATAACTCTCTCAGTCCTCAGCTGGGGTTGGAATCATGCCATGAGGCTTCTAAACTAATTTTAAAACTATCAAAATCTTGGATATTGTTATCCACCCTCCATTTCTGTAGAAATTTTTTAGCCAATCTTTATTATTTAGCCAATGTTTATTGCCACTGAATTTTAAATCTTAGTATCCTCAATTTAACAATAATTATGTCTTTTCTCAATTCCTTTAACTGCCTGAGCTATAGGAGGTAGTTACTTTAGATTAATGTTGATTTAGAAAACACTTAAATCTTTCACATGAGTGAATCTAAAAGTGAAAAATGGAAGGTGTAATGGAAGATTAGTTAAGAGGAAGTAATGTTTACACAGTCAGGTAGAAAGATTTCAGGATGTATTGCTCATATGGACATGATGGCTGCAAAAATGCTCAAGCACACTAGATTAAAGGTTTTTAGAATTAGCTGCACCTTCTTGCTGTCAAAACTGTTTCAAAAAGGGAAACCCAACCTCTCACTAGTTTACACATTGCAAGCAGAGAGCTAGAAGGTGTGGTGAGAGAAGCATTGATACAACTTTTTGTTAGTTTTTTTGCAGTCTGTCTTCAGCAACTGATACCCACAGATTTTTCTTCTTCTGGTTGGTTTTATCATTTCAAAAGGAAGAGGAAAAATTTTTTCCTCTAAGGCTCACAAACACAAACTGTAGCCAGAGGACAGAAAAGAACAATGGACCACAAATGTATGCATAAAGAGCACAGGGTTTTTCCCCCCATATCTGTCCATATATACGTTCATTCTACAGGTGAGTGCTTTCTCTTCTTGAGCTGCACTTTTAGCAGTCACCAAAGACTAACAGAAAATTATTTGGCCATGAGCTGGGAGAGATTTGATTGCAGAGAAGTCAAATGCCATCTTTCTTGATCACAAAGTATCTCTCTTCTGATATCTATAGTCATGATCTAAAGTCATACAACACTATTTCTTTTACTGTGAAAATAAAACCAAATTTATCGAGTCCATATCTTCACCAGTTACTCCTACCAAAAAGGCAGATTACAGCTTTTAAATAGATCTTTTATTGTCACATCTGAAACCCTGACAGACTGAATATTCAGCAATTACACAATTTTCCTCTAGGAATTCAAGCATTTGATGCAGTTGGCATGATATGATGTGCTCTCATGTACAGTGCAGTTTGAAGCTAGATGTTTTGATTGAGGAAATCATAGAAAAAGTATGAAATAAAACAGCAACTTTTTATTCCTAGCACTAACTGAAGAATATCAGAAAATACTGTGGCCCAGGACACTTTAGGTGCTATGGCATGGGAACAGTTATGATTCAGTTCCATATGAAAAGGAAGAAAGGGTGTATTTTACCCCTGTGCCACCTTCAAGCAGCACATATGTGTTAAGTGCATTTATATGCTACAGTGAAGGCAAAAAATTCCTATGCTTTGAGTTCTTAAACCTATGTGTTTCTATCATGTAAATGAATAATAACTCAAAGAGAATTGGAGCTACTATATATTTAAAACTGCCCAAAATATATATGGAAAAAGTAGATATTTGACAGAAAAGAAGAAAAGACTGAAAGTGCTAAGAGTGAGGTGAGAGCTTATTTTCATTACATTCAGAAAAGAGCTGTCAAGACCACTATGATATGCCAGACTCACAGCAATGGTAAGTAACTAATAGTTACCACCTCCATTGCTGAACCTGCATTAAGACTATAATTCCTCTTAAATAAACTGCTGAGTAGTCTGAAATTGGCTCTGTAAAAGTAGGAGGAAAAATGAAAGGAAACACGACACAAATTAGAGCTTGAAAAGGTGGAAAAACATCCATATGTGAGATATCAAAGGGTAGGAGTGTATTCAATGCACCACAAACATGCCTCCAATTATTGTTTGCTCTGTCATAAGAACAAAATTGTTTTATGTGTTTCTCTTCTCATTTTTTGTCCCTACACATGTGCATCTTTCCAAACACAGAGAAAACTCAAAGCGCTACAGCTGAATATGAACACTCAGTTCTGTGTCCTTGCCTATTAGCCACCTGTAATCATTTAAAAGTATTTTTCAGCTTTATTCCTGTCAGCTCTTTCATAGCCATTTCTACTTAATTTTCCCTAGCAGCCTTTTCCCATACTATAGTTTTGTTTCACTTTATTTCTCATAAAGATTCCAATTCTGTAGTTTTGTAGCACAACGCAGACAGAATGCATACTTCTTGCCTGCAGAGTTCAGCATCCCATGCTTCATATTTATATGGATCATCCAAATATGATGATTTAAGGTACATATATATGATTTAAGGTACATATAATAAGGTATCTTAAATGAATGCACTGTTACAAAATCCACCACACAGTAAGGAGGATCTATTCTGTGTTCTCATTTCCCAATTTCAGTTTTACATAGAAGGGTTTTAAAAAAAATTGTTATATTCCACATGAAGTTCACTGAATGCATAGACAGAAACCACATTTGCAGCTCACACAAGATGGTGCTGCAGTGCTACATACAGCATATGATACTAAGATCATTGAGATTCATAAGTATGCACGCTGCAAGAAAAACAAACTACATTGTGGAAAATCCTTATTTGTTATTGCTATTTGAATACACACTTCCACACATACAGTGGTCAAAACAGAAATATAAAAATTTTGGTTGAAGGCAAATTAGTACAGTAGCCAGCATATATATTCAATACTCCAGCATACACAGGTATGGCATGTGTTTGATGACAAACTTCTCTGACCACAATATCCTTCCATTTTATTTATCTTTACATACCGTAATGATTTGAAGATTTTGTGAAGGATCACTGCTACAGATAAAAGACTTGGTGGGGTACAAACTAGAGTGAATTTATGGCCCCTTGGGTGTGCTACATTACAGCCCCAGAGTGAATGAAAGAGCAATAACAGTATTTTTGATTATGGCACATTTATCGCATAATAAAAGCATTTTCTATGAAGTTGCTGTAGAACAGATACATTGTCTCCTCTTCTGTGCCTCAGTTAAGAGTGCCAGTTTTTGACTCTGAGGCCAGCTGGCACAGACTGGCCACAAACCCAGCAGTAAACACTGACCAGAGAGATGAGCAAACTGCCTACTGGTTCCTATACTGGAGTAACAACTAAAACACATCATGGAATTATTTGGGAGAGTGCAAGGTGAGAATAATGTCAAGGCATTTTCTAACACAACCACCATGTAAGTAAATGAGTTGCAGTGCTTTGGCCCATGCTTTCACACTGTTTAACTTACTAATAGATATAGTAGCCACTAGTTTCACATTCCAATGTGAGCTTATAAAATATTAGTAAAGCCATAGGCTGTTTATAAGTCTGGTTTTTAGAGAAGAACAGGCATCTGTAAGAATTTTGGCTTGAGCTTATGATACTTTCAAAACCCAGCTCTAAGTTGGAACACAGAATAGCTGGAACACAGTTCAGCTGTGGGCCCCAAATTTAATTTTACTGCCATAGATGCATATATCCCCCAGCCATCAGCCTGATGCTGAATAACTTGCAGAAGATGTGCTGCTTTTGGCCACGGACACAGCAATAAAACTGAAATAAGTTTCAAGTACTTGAGGTTAGTCGTGAGATTGCTAAACATCCACGTTGCAAATTTTGCTAATTGTCAGTAATTTGAGAGTAATTTGTCATTAATTTCACTCTCTGCCCCCACAGTGGGATGTGAAAGAGAACTGGAGGGCTAAAAGTAAGAAAACTCATGAACTCATGGGTTGAGATAAGAACATCAAAATAATTTAAATAAAATAATATTTTTTATTAAAATGTAAGGAAATAGAAATTAACAAGAAGAAAGAGAAATAAAACCCAAGAAAAGCAGGCAATGCAAATGAACAGCAATTGCTCACTACTAACCAAATTATGCTCAGCCTGTTCTCAAGCATGGCCCCCTAGGCAGCTTTCCCCCAGGTTTATATACTGAGTATGACTCTGTGGCATATCCCTTTACCCAGTTGGGGTCAGCTGTCCAAGCTTTAATAAATTCTTATTGCTTAAATGGAGATCTAGAAAACTAAGCAACCACATGGACCCTGTTTATGCAGAAGATAAAACCAACAAACAGACCAAATGATGGAAAACAACTAAGATTAGGCAGATGTAAAAATCTGTGCTTTTTATAAACAAACATATCAAGTATCAGGAAGGTTTGGTATACTAGTACACTGTTCAGAGGCATTGGAAGGATCAGGTATTGCTCATAGGTTTAGTATCAGAGATGTAACTACAAACAGTGAACTGACAAATATTTGTTCTTTACCCATTATGGGCTTTTG